CTCATCTTCCTCATCATCATAACCATCGTCATCACCAACATAAGAATCATCATCATCAGATCATCATCATCATCATCATCCTAATCAGCATCATCATCGTCATGCTCATCATCATCACCATCATCATGACCGTCATGATCAGCATGACCATCACCATCACCATTACCATCATCATCACCATCGTCTACAGCAACATCAGCAGCATCACGATCAGCATGGTCATGCTCTTTATCATCAGCCTCATTAACATCCGCATCAGCAGCATCATCATCATCGTCAGCAACATCCACATCAGCATCATCATCAGCAGCATCATCATCGCCAGCAACATCCTCATCATCAACACCACAACCACCACCATCATCATCATCACCATCATCATCATCGTCAGAATCAGCATCATCATCGTCAGGAACGTCCTCATCATCATCAGCATGTGCATCACCATCATCATCACCAGCAGCATCATCATCGTAAGTCAGATCCTCCTGATCATCATCATCACCATCATCATCACCATGACCGCCATCACCAACATCATCATCATGACCATCATCACCATAATCATACTCATCATCATCAGCAGCAGACACCATCCTCATCGACATCATCAGCAGCATCACCACCACAACCAACATCAGCATCACCAACATCATCGTCAGCAATATCCTCATCATCATCCCCATCATCATGATCAGCATCATCACCAACATCATCATCACCAGCATCAGAATCATCGTCAGCAGCAAACTCATCATCATCACCATCTTCAGCTCCATCACCATCACCATCATCATCATCATCACCGTCATCATCATCATCAACATCACCAGCATCATCCTCGTCATCATCATCACCATCAGCATCACCATCATAATCATCATCGTCAGCAATGTCCTCACCATCATCATCAGCAACAGCCTCATCATGACCATCATCGTCAGCAACATCCTAATCATCATTAGCATCATCATACTCAGCATTATCATCATCATGCTCAGTATCCTCATCATGATCATCATCAGAATCATCGTCATCATCCTCATCATCACCATGATTATCAGCATCATCATCATCGTCGTCAGCATCATCATGCTCATAATCATCATCACGATGCAAAGAACCATCACTATTTTATTAATCAACGTCAGCAACACCCTCATCATCCTCATCACTATCAGCATCATCATCGACAGCCCCAGTATCATCATTATCATGCTCATCATCATCATCATCATCATCATCATCATCATCATCAGCATCAACATCATCATCCTCATCATCAGCATCATAATCGTCAGCAGTATCATCATCATCATCATCATCATCATCATCATCATCATCGTCATCATCATCATCATCATCAACACCATCACCATCATTCGGGCGTTCACTGATGGGGGGGCGATAGATGGGGGGGGGCAAGAAAGATGCACCTTTCATGCACCTTTCGTACCCCTTCGGGGCCCCAGGGGGTTCGTTTAGGGCCCCTTGAGGGCCCCTTTCGGGCAGCCCTCGACGCCACCCCATTTATCGCCCCCCATTACAGATAGCCCGAATGATTGTCATCGCCACCACCACAACCATCATCATCATCGTCATTATCCTCATCACCATCATCATCAGCATCATCATGTTCAACATCATCATCAACATCATCACCATCGTCATCGACAACATCTTCATCATCATCATCATCCTAATAATCATGATCATCATGATAATAATCATGATCATCATCATCATCATCATCATCAATATCATCATCATCATCATCATCATCATCATCATCATCATCATCATCATCACCATCATCATCGTCAGCAGCATCCTCACCGTCAGTCACCCGCACCCCCCGGCCCCGACAAAGGGAGGTGTAGGGGGGGCGTGCCCTCGCGAGGAGCCACCCGATCCGCATGCTCCAGGGCACCATGATCTGCTGCATCTGCAACTTCTGGGGCACGGCGGCGGGCAACAGGCGGGCGGCGGCGGCGGGCGGCGAGGGCCGCGCCCTCGCGCCTCGAAGTAGAAGGGGCTCTGGGTTTGAGAGGTCCGGGAATCCCACAGAGGGCACAGGATAGCTTTGACGCGCGGGCGGCGCGGGCGGCGGGCGGCGCTGGCAGATTGCTGGGGCGCCGTTTCGAAAAGGGCCTTTCATGCCCCGTATCTGCTCACTCCTCCTCGTCATCCTCACCGCCCCCGTAATCGCCTCCATGATACTACCGCCGACGCAATCCCTGCTGGCACCGCCGTCATCATCATCATCATCATCATCATCATCATCATCATCATCATCACCACCACCACCAGCACCATCATCATCAAAATCATTATCAACATCATCATCATCATCATCATCATCATCATCATCATCATCATCATCATCATCATCAACATCATGATCATCATCACCCACCACCAGCAACACCAGCGACACCACCACCACCACCACCATGAGCATCATCATCGTCATCATCATCATCATCATCATCATCATCATCATTACCATAATCACCAATCATCATCATGATCATCATCATCATGACCATCAACACCATCATCATCATCATCATCACCAAAAATCATCATCATCATCATCATCATCATCATCATCATCATCATCATCACCTTGATCATCATCATCATCATCATCATCATCATCATCATCATCATCATCATCATCAACATCATCGTCGCCAGCATCATCATCATCACCATCACCACAACCACCACCACCACCACCACCATCATCATCATCATCATGTTCAGCATCCCATCATCAGCAGAACAATCATCATCATCATCATCATCATCAGCAGCATCATCATCATGACCATAATCATCACCAGCACCCTCATCATGACCATAATCATCATCAGCATCACCATCATCATAATCCTCATCAGCATCGTCATCATCATCACGCTCATCATCACCATCAGCAGCATCATGATCACCATCATCATCATAATCATGATCATCATCATCATCTTCATCATCGTCATCATCATTATGAAATTCATTATCATCATCGTCACCGTCAGCAACATCAACATCATCATCATCCTCATCATCATCATCACCATCAACATCATCATCATCATCATCATCACCATGATATCATCATCATCATTATCATTATCATCATCGCCAGCATCGTCGTCATCATCATAATGAACAGCATGATCATCAATCATCATCATCATCATCATCATCATCATCATCATCATCATCATCATCATCATTATCGTCATCATCCTCATCATCATCACCAGCAACATCCTCAGCATCATCGGCACAGCAGCAGCATCATGATCAATCATCATCATCATCATCGTCATCGCCGTCATCATCATGAACAGCATCATCATCAATCATCATCATCATCATCGTCATCATCATCACCATCATGATTGCCAGCAACATCCTCAACATCATCGGCATGCGCATCATCAGCATCAGCCGCAGCATCATCATCATCATATTCATCATCGTCAGCATCACAATGATAGTCATCATCATCCTCGTCATCGTCAGCAACAACAGCATCATCATGATCATCACCAGCATCACCAGCATCAACATTAGCATCCTCATCATCAGCATCGTCATCGTCATAATGAAAATCATCGTCATCATCGTTAGCAACAACACCAACATCATCATCATCATCATCATCATCACCAACATCATCACCATCATCAACATTATCCTCAACATCATCATCAGCATCATCAGCAATATCCTCATCATCATCACAACCAGCATCATCATCATCAGCATCATCATCATCATCATCATCATCATCATCATCATCGGCATCATAATCAGCATCAACATGACCATAATGAGATTCATCAGCAGCATCCTCATCATACTCATCACCATCATCGTTATCACCGTCATCATTAGCATCATCATCATTACCATCACCATCGTGAGAAAACAATCATCCTCACCAGCGTCACAAACACCATCGTCAGCATCACCATCGTCAGCAGCAACAAACAACATCATTACCATAACAACAACAACAACAACAACAACATCATCATCATCATCATCATCATCATCATCATCTCATCCTCAGCACCATCGTCTGCATCGGCATCATCATCATCAGCATCATCATCATCCTCATCATCATCATCGTAATTATCAGCATCATCATCGTCTTCACTATCATCATCAGTTTCATCAGCATCGACATCATCATAATGTGAATCATCATCGGCAGCAGCATTGCGACCATCATCATCATCGTCAGCATCATCATCCTCAGCATCATCCTCATCGTCACCATCATCATCACCATCATCATCATCGTCATCATCATCATTAAGTACCACCATTATCATCAACAACACCATTGTCGCGGTCATCGTCATCGTCGTCATAGCCATCATCATCATCATCATCATCAACATCATTATCCTCATCCTCCTCCTCCTCCTCCTCATCATCATCATCATCATCATCATCATCATCATCATCATCGTCATCGTCATCGTCATCGTCATCGTTATCGTCATCATCGTCGTCGTCACCGCCATCGCATCACATCACCATCCCTCATCCTCCATCCTGTCTCTTCCCTCGTTCTCCTCCCTGCTGCCCCTCAAACTGCCGAGCCGCTCACTCACTCATTTACTCAATCCTCCCTCTCTCCCGCCCGCCCTCCTGCTCCCTCCTCCCCCCTCCCCCACCAGGGCGCACGGAGCGCGCCAGGGGCGGCGCCACTGACGCCGCCAGGGGGGCCCAACGCAGTTCCAAGAAATCCACGCGCACCTCCGGACGTTTCTGACTATGCTGCCCCTCTTCTTCGAGACGAAGAGGGGCGACCCCGAGGGCCCCGGAGGATTGGCAGGGAGAAGGCGCGCGAGCGCGCAGCACGACGCGACAAACGCTGGCCACGCGGGACGCAAAAAAGCCACCGACACCAGAACCTCGGGGCGGGCCCCGCCGCGGTCACGAGGGCCTCCCGGGACGCCCGACGAGGCAAGAAAGACGAAAGGACAGCTTACGACGCACTTCCCAGGTGGCCTTCGCAAGAACGATTATAACCGATCAAGCCCGACGTCAGTGAAAACGTATGACAAGGACGGGTGGTAAGGATGCAAGGCCCTTGGAGGCCAAAGTTGGGATTTGTTGGGCGGCCGGCGACCCAAACCCAACGGACGCAAGGGTACCCTGACCCGAAAGTGGCCGCTGATGCAAGGACACAAGGGTACCCTAAAAAAGGCGCGCGTCCATACTATGCGCGTTGACTGTAAGCCGCACTAAGTCCCACCAGCCCTCTGGGCGGAGGTGGTTTAGAGAGCCCGTTCTGTTCCACCCCCATCTTCCCCTTCGGGGAGGGGTTATCACCGCTCCTTATGAATATACACCCCCTCCCCACCCCGGCCGGCGGCCAACACAGAACCATGCCGACTCCATGCGGGCCCGCCCCCCACCATCCCTGTCAAAAAACACTACAAGCCGCACTCTGCCTCCACATTTGGAGCATGCGCGGCCAACCCGATGCGGCTCCCCCCACCATCCCTGTCAAAAAGCGATGCATGGTAAACTGTGGGGCAAGCCTTGAATCATGTTAGTGAGGCCCGCGAGCACCGTGGATTGTTTTTGACAGGGACGGCGGGGGTGTCAGCACGGGGGTGTCGGCATACCCCCTGCTGCGCGCAGAACTACCATCCCTCCCCCCCCCAAAAAAAAATACTCGCGGCTAAATTTGGATCATGCGTGGCCATCCCGCGATCACTGTCAAGTGGTTTTTGACAGGGACGGCGGGGGTGGTGGCGCGTGGCCTGCTATGCGCAGGCCCACCAGACACAATGATGGGCATTGGTTTTCGACAAGGATGGCAGGGGCCGACATCTTTCCTGATGTGTGCTGTCATGTGCGCAGGCGCATCTCACGCACTCCGTACGTGCCCCGAACGTGGCGCACCTGGCGCGGCTGGAGTGTGCGGCACACCTGGCGCACTCGGAGCACGTGGCGCATCTGACGCACCAGGCGTGCCTGGCATAGTGGGGCCCCAGGGTTGCCTGGCGCGCGTGGCGCCCGTGGCGCCCGTGGCACGCGTGGCGCACCTCGCCCAAGCGTCGCGCACCTGGGGTCGGTTCTGGTTCTCAGTAGCTTTCCATCCAAAGACGACCGCTGAACATGTTCAGGCTCGGGTGTTACTTATTTGTTGGGAAGGCGGGTGGGAGTGAGCTAGACGGCTTGCGGGCGGGCGGGTAGCTTGGCCCCTCCCCCTACCCCTACCCCCTCCCCTGGGCCTGGAGGGGGGGGGGGTGGGCCGCGGGTGGTTGGAGCGTCTGCGTTGGCCTAAGATCGCGCCAAGACATCCCAAGAGCTCAAGATGATCTCCAAGATCGCTCAAGATAGCCCTTGATGACTCAAGATGCTCCAAGACCGCCCCAAGGCGGCCACGGAGCCTCCCACGGACGCCCCCGAGGTGCCAAACTCCTTCGAAAACCTAGGGAAAACCCATGTGGAAAATCCATGTGTTGTGCTGTCTCGCCTTGACGCGTTCCATGGGCTCTTGAGGCGTCAAGATGGCCCCGAGATGGCCCAAGATAGGAAGGCACCAACTATACACCAACACCGATCCTGGCCAGGATCGGTGTTGGTGTATAGTTGGTGCCCTCCGAGCTTCAAGATGGCCCCGAGATGGCCCAAAACAGCCCCAAGACAGGCTTCAGAGAGGCCCAAGACGGGGCCCAAAAGGCGCTCAGGAGCGCTCCGAGAGCGGCCTCAAGAGGGGGCTCCAGGAGGCGACTTTTCCGAAGGGGGGGGGGGGGGTGATGGACGCCGCGCTCCTTTTGTGAGCCGTGGCCTCCAAGATGGTCCCAAGAGAGACCTCCCAGACCCCCCCAAAGAGCCCCAAGAGGGGGCCCCAAGACCCCCCGAAAGAGTCCCAAAGGGTGCCCCAAGAGGCACCACGAGGACCCCAGAAGGGTCCAGAGACCTCCTGCTCCGCCCCGTCCTCCTCCCACTGCCCCCGCAAGAGTGCATGACAGAAGTAGGCAGGAGGTGGGCGGAAGAGGAGGAGACATGCGAGAGCAGGAGGGGGCACGCCCGAAAGCCACGACCGTCGGAGTGCGTCGCAAGATGTGTTGTCTTGGGAGGGGCTGGTGGGGATACTTTTTTGATCGCGACCGCCGCGAAGAGGTCGGGCGGCGTCCAGGAGCGAAGCCTGGTGGGGCTGCGCGAAGCGTGAACAATCTGCGATTAGGCCGGATAACGGGAAACGCCATTAGAACGGGTCATGCCAGACCAATACGGTCCCTCTGGCCACGGATCTACCAGCGCCCATGCTGGACTAAACTCTCCCAGCAGTTGCATCCCAGGGTAGCGGCATCGGTGCTCTGGAGTTGCCTTAGGAGCTGCATCCCAGGAGTTGCCTCCCAGGGGTTGCATCCAAGGAGTCACCGAGAACGACGAGAAATAACTCAGTCCTGACTCTTCCATGACGCCGCATGTCTGGGCAGCGTTATCGGCACCCGCATGCCTGGGGCAATCGTGGACGAAAAAACCGATCCGCGTCCGCGGCCTGGCGGGTCGGGCCCCGTGGGCCGTGACCCCGCGGATACGAGGCCGTTGGCTCGCACATGCCCCGCGCGGCGTGCCCGCGGGATCCGATGCCGTTATCTGTTCAATCCGAGGTCTCTGGCAATGCCGACCATTTCCCCAGGATCGGTTTCTCGCCCAGGGCCGCGCTCCCACGGCCCTCGGGCCCGCCGAGGGCCTCCCAGAAGGGAAACTGGCGAAAAACCTCCGAGCTGACTCCTTCGATACTTTGGACCCCTGGGTCTCGTGCGGCCGCGTATCCGCGGGATACCGCGCCGCGGAATCCGGACCGCGAGGGCGCGGATCCGCGGACCCGCTCGCCGCTCGCGGGGCCAGCAGGGCGCACGCGGGCCGCGCGCCTCCGCGGCCTGCGCCTGGCAGCAGATCAGCTGGGTGATGAGGTCGCTGGGCCCGTCCTCGTCCCGGAGCCGCTGCTGCGGGGGCGGGGCGCGGCGCGGGCCCTGAGATCCCGACGTCTCGGCGATCTCGGGCGGGACGTTTTCGCCCACTTTCGGGCCCAGGACCCTCACGGATCGATCCGCCTCGGTCCTCCTCCTCCTCCTCCTTTCTCCTCCTCCTTCCTCCTCCTCCTCCTCCTCCTCCTCCTCCTCCTCCTCCTCCTCCTCCTCCTCCTCCTCCTCCTCCTCCTCCTCCTCCTCCTCTTCCTTCCTTCCAGTCGTGAATTTCTACGATACTGCCATTTTTTCGCGCCGTCGGATCCCAGGAGGGGTGGGCGCCCAAACCCCGACTTCGTGGGCTTGTCTAACGGGCCGTGAATTTGAAACCCACTCGGGAATGAACGACGGGAAAGCGTCCATCCTCGACAACGGGTGCGTCAGGGGGGCGTCCATCCTCGATTGGCGTGAGCCCGAATAGCCCATCAGGGGTATATCCCTGAGTTCCCCTTTTTTCTGAGCGGTCTATTTATTCGAGCGGAACCCGGGGACTGGAACCGAGAAATCGCCGGCGAGCCAGGCCTGACCTCGGCCTGTAGACGTTGATGTTTTAGCTCTCGCGCCTCAGTGTGGGTTCCCTGACATGAAACAGACGTCTGCGCGACGCGACACCGAGCGCGTGAATCGACCGAACTTGCGGTCTTCAGAAGCCGCCCAGCATGGCGCCGAACGACAGCTGAGGATAAGAGCCCGCCGCCGGAATGAAACCCTCAGCGCGCCAATCGGGACTTTCGCGACTGGCAGAGGCACCCGACAAAAACAGACAGAGCGAACGACAAGCCCCAAGGGAGGCCCGAGAAGCCCCCCAGGCAGGCCTCCCCTGGGTGGCCCGCGGAGGGCCCACCAGATGCGGCCCGGGCAGGGGCGCAGCCCGGACCCGCGACTGGTGCAAGGACAGACGTTGCTGGTTTTGGCCAGCCCAAAATCGAGGGATGAAAAAACGACCCTACCCTGGGTTACGAGTGCGTGGTCTGTAAACCTCCTGGGAACCCCCCAAGGCCTAGAGGGCGCCAGGACGCCGCACACATCACGCAGGGTTCACCCTGTCGGCCCACGGGAGTTTCAGCGCACAGCGCCTCGTGCATCAGGGCAGGGGCGTTTTTCAAGCCCCTGACAAAACCAGGAATCTCTCACTGCGCCGAGCTGGGCCGGCGAAGGCTCCGGGGAGGCGGGCGCCGCGCGTGCCCCGAGGCGGCGGGCCGAGCGGCGCAGGGCCGCGCCCCCGCTGGAGCAGGCGCATCGGCCGGCGGCGCAGCGGGCGCAGCGCCGCGCCCGCACTGCGCGGGGACAAGAGGAAGGCATTAGCTCACGAGTCTCGGGTCTCGTCGAAGCTGTTGGACCGCCTCGAACAGACGCGCTGCGCAAGGAAGGCGGCACCGCGAAGAAGCAACCACGCGCGGCCTGAGTTCCTGTTCGGGGTCCGCTCGGACCAGCCGAAGGGCCGACGCATCGCGCCGCTTGGCGCTGTGCACCGATCGAGACTTGCAAATGTCTGGCATGTTGGCCGTTCTCGAAGAGGCTGGTAGCATCTCGGGATGGCAATATTCACTTGATTGAGGCTTCGGGTGAGAGCGACAGGCAATAAAATGGAAGGCACGCCGCAAAAGAATGTGCTGCAACGTCTGCTAGAAAAGACTACACAACAAGGAATTGTAAAGACTTCTGGTTCCAAGCAGGGCTCCTCTCCGGTGGAGCGGGGGGTCCAGGGGGGTCAGGTGTGAAACGAAGCTAAATAGAAGAAGAAAAACCGCCACAAACAGAAACTTTTGGCGCTCCGCGCGGATTTCTTGCATCGGCGCTGAACCCGCCTCCCTGTTGCTGCGCCGCCAGGGGGGCCAGCGCCGATCCAAGAAATCCGCGCGGAGCGCAAAAGTTTCTGTTAATGCCGTTTTTTTATTCTTCGAGGTATGAAGCAAAGCTAAGGTTTGACAAAATCGGACTGGGATGCATCCAGGATCTCCGAGATCCGGCAGCTCTGGAGGATGCATCGGGCGCGGTGGCTGCTCTGGGAGCGTTCTGGGATGCTCTGGGGGCGTTCTGGAACGCTCTGCAGTTATTCCGCCTGGTCCCGGCCCCGCCCGACGGCAGTCAAGGGGAGGCTCTGGAGAACCCCAAAAGGGGGTCCAGCTGACAGGGGGTGGTGCAATAGATTTGGGGCAAGTGTACTGCAAATGTGTTGCGCCAGAGAATTGTATTGCATTGTGTTGCAACGAATTTATGGCACGCGAACATCCAGCAATACATTTGCGCCCCGGCATGTGTTGCACGCCCCAATTCTATTGCAACCAGCAGATCTATTACATCAGATCTATTGCAGATCCCACCTTGTAGCTGGACCCCCCTTTGGATCAACCAGAGGAGGTCCAGGCATCCGATGTCGTGGTTTCTTCACGGCCTCAGGAGGCAACTCCTCGAAGGCCTTCGTGAGAACGTGTGAGGGCTACTAAGCACGATCGGGGGGCCATGGATGCTGCGTAGGCCAAGATTGAGCCTACGACTGAGCCGTACTGAGCCAAATTTTGAGCGGGATGAGGCGGGATTCCACGGGTCATGCTGGATCAGGCCAGTTGTCGACCACGGATCTCCCAGCGCCAGTGCTGAATTTCACCTCCCAGGAATTGCATCCCAGCAGGGGGCCGCCAGGGCTCCGATGGAGCAGGAAGGGTCAGGGGCAGTCAGAGGGAGGAGGCCCAGACATTCGACGTCGGGATCGCTTCGCAGCGCAACTCCCTGGAAGTCCAGGCCCCTTCTCCAGGGATCAGCTTTCCGTTATGAATCGTTTCTTGACGGTCCCGGGCGACTGGCAAGGGCCCCCCCAAACGGCCAGAAACCTCCTGCCGCAATTTTCCACGCAAGGATGTCAGACTCCAGCGGCACCAGCGGCAGGACCTGGAGATAGTGTTTGAACGATCCATGATAACGGCCTTTAACAGCGCCCCCCCTCGGCAACGTCTGCGAATACCTAGGAATAGCGAAGGAGAGCAAGGGTTAGCAAATAGGTGGGGATGTGCCAGAGATGGCTAGGCGCAGCATAGTAGCCACGAGCAGCGGACGTAGCGCCTGTGCGCGCCGCAATATGCCTGCGGAAGGGCCTCTGGGGCACACCACGCCTGTGTACACCACAATGCCTGCATGCACCACAAAGCCTGTGAACACAACAGTGCTTGTTTGCATAAATGAACCCGTGTGAACAACAATGCCTGTGCACACAACAATGCTGACACACATCGTAATGCCCAATTGCCTGTGTATACCACAGCGACGGTGTACACACACGACGCCTGTGTTCACCACAAGGCCTGTGTGCACAACAATGCCTGTGTATATCACACAGCCTGCGTGCACCACAAAGCTAGCTTACACAACAAAAACTGTGTACACCACAAGGCCTTCGCACACCACAGCCGCTGCAGCAACAACATGTTACAAATATGTATGCGCCACAGCGCCTTGTGTACACCGCAGTGACCCTGTCAACCACTGCAGTCGTGTGCACCACAGCGCCTGTGTACACCGCAGCGCCCACACCACGTCGCCCGTGTGCACCACAGCTGCGCTACTGCATCACCACAAGTGTATGTATACCACAGCGCCTGATTACAGCACAGTGCCTGCGTACACCACAAAGCTTGTGCTGTGTTCACCACTGGCGGTGCTGTGGCAGCGTATGTGCACTGCCGAAGCGCCTGCGCACACCAGTGCCTGCGTACACCACAGCCGCCGTGCGCACCACGGAATTGCGTTCACCACAATGCTGGTGTACACCGCAACGCCTGTGTACACCACTGCTACTACTGCTGCTGCAGCAGCAGCTGTGAACCACAACGCCTCAATGCCTGTGCGCACAACAATTCCTATGCACACACACACACTGCCCATGTGCGTTTCTGGAGGCCTGCGGGAGCCTTCGGACGACGTTGTTCGTCGTCGTCGTCGTCGTCGTCGTCGTCGTCGTCGTCGTCGTCGTCGTCGTCGTCGTCGTCGTCGTCGTCGTCGTCGTCGTCGTCGTCGTCGTCGTCGTCGTCGTCGTCGTCGTCGTCGTCGTCGTCGTCGTCGTCGTCGTCGTCGTCGTCGTCGTCGTCGTCGTCGTCGTCGTCGTCGTCGTCGTCGTCGTCGTCGTCCCAGGCCACTCCCAGCCCAGACTAAGGAAACCGGAAGGTACCGATACCGCTACTCCCCAGACCTGTCCTGGGGTGCTTTCCGACAGGATTTCGAAGTGAATCCAGCGGTGGTGACGAGGACCTCCCAGGAGGCCCTACAAGGGGAAAACGAGGAAAGGGTAGAGGTACGGGTATATATTCCTTCTCTGACAGACGTTACCCGGCCCCTCCCCCCACCCCCCGCGGGCGCAAATCATGGCGTGTCTGGGCCCCTCCGCCGAAAAAACGCCCACCACCGCTAGAGGATAGATAAATTACGGGCTCCTCGCGAGGAGCCCACCCCAAAGGCCCGTCTTGACACGTATACTCGGGGACTCACTGACCCGGGTCAATGCAAACCTGGGTCAGTCGGGCCTTGCAAAATCCTGCAAAATCCTGCACCCAAACCCGGGTCAATGCGAAGGATCCTGCGAAATCCTGCAGGATCCTTCACCCAAACCCGGCTCAATGCGACCCTGGCCCTGCAGGATCCTGCAAGGTCTGGCACTCTGGCCGACCCCCGTCTGCATGGACCCCCGTCTCAAAGCTCCCGATAGACGGCCCGCCCCTGGAGCCCGGCGAGGCGCCGGAAAGGCAGTCCCAGTCGCTGCGCCCACCAGACAGGCCTGGCCCACGGAGCCAGCACCGAAACGCACTGTGGCCTGGGCGGCCAGCCCCTGGGCCGCGCGGGGCCCTGACAGCAGGGGCTCGACCACACGAGACCTCCCACACGAAGTCCAAACCAGACCCCAGGACCTCCATTGATTTTTGGTGCGGAAGCGGCACGCCGTCCATCGCGAAACCCAAGGACCCCAGGGCACCCTGGAGGCAAGCAGGGTGCTTCTTGGCACGGGTCTCCACTGTGCGCGCGCGAACGCTCGGAGGGCGCCGGGGCGCCCGCCTTCTGCACCCAGCCGTCCAGCTCTCGGAACGCCGCGCGCACCTGGCGGACGCGCCAGGGGGGGGCGGGGCGCGGACGCGTGCGCGCCCACCAGAGCGTCCGCGCCGCGGCGGCGGTCGGGTGATCTGGAGACCCGGGCAGGGGCGCACTGACATCCCTGCGTTCCCAGACCCCCTCGCGACGTGAAAAATCACGGCGGGATGTGTTTCGCTATTTTCGGCCTCCCAACCCCTCACCGGGCCCCGAGACTGCCAGAAAACGACTCAGCATGAAAATCCGGTCCCGGGGAAGGGGTCCAGACCTCTGGGGGTCGACGTTGTGCAAAATCACGACGTCGAGGCGGCGCCAGAGCGAGCGGGCCCCAGGGCGCCCACTGCGAACCGTCCGCGCAGCGCCCCCACTTCTCCCTGGACCTCCCCGTCCCAAAGCCGTGCGGTGACGGTTCGCGCGGTGAAATCGTTCGGGAGTGTGGGGTCACCACGCGGTCCGTCAGCTCACGGGTTTTGGGCCCCGGAGAACGACCCAAGTCCCGAAACCGCGCGGTGACCCAGAATCCTCCCCGACTCACCTCGCGGTGCAGTCACAACTGGAAGGCGTGTATCATGCACCGACCTGTTCAGGAGGTTTTTGTTGGTGAGTGCGTTGGCCAAAACGGCGTTAGCGTAGTTGCCGACAGAGGGCGCGCATGCCATGCGCCCTGTCTGGGGCGCGCTTGAGCAGGCGCGGGCAAGGCCGCAGCGGCCCAGGCACTCCTGGCGGACAACCGCCAGGGCGCCCGGGCGGTGTTGTACAACACCGCCTGGGCGCCACCGACAGAAGGCAGCCACGACCGTCACGGGGGAGGGCGCCTCACCCAGGACGGCGGCGCCATCGCGCCTGACGACTGCCGAGCCGCCATCGACGCCCTCGCTGCCGAGCGGCGGACCGCCGTCAGGTCGGGCATGTCCTCCTACAGGCGGAGTTGGGGGGAGAATAAAACATGGTTAGCAAACATCCCACAAATAGTCACAACATCGTCCCCTGGTTATCTTTTTGACCTTTTTGGGATACTCCTCCTGTAGAGGGACATGCCCGACTGCAGGCTACTCACCAACCACGACCCGCGCGGCACCGTGGCCACAGCGGCCACGGGCGCTCCGATGCGGACACCCAAGCGGGCGGGCGGCTGCAGTAGGCGGGGGCGCGCAGGGGGCGGCGCGAGGGAGCGGCTTCGGCCCCAACCCCACCGACGGAAGCCACTGGAGCACCGTGACGTCCGTCCTGAGGCTGGGGGTCTCTGGGAGCCCGAGTCTGAGATCGGCGGCGAGCGAGGGCGGGAAGCGAGAAGGGGCGGGCCCTCGCAGAAGGCTCGGAAGTCCCCCAGGCTTCTCTGAGGAGTTGCCTGATCAGGAAAGAAATTAATTTTCATTTTATTGTTGGCATCTTATTCCTTTTTTCTTTATGCCAACAATATGAAAATCAATCATGTCTTTCCTTTAATCCATTTTCTTATTAATGAATCCTTGTGGGCCATCTATTGCTTTCCTCTCTTCTTTTCTTGAAAGCAATAGGATGATGGCGCCGCCGATTGAGGCGGTCTTAAGCACGAGCCTCGGGGCCAACATGTGGAGCCTCACCCTTTCGTGGCTGCGCCCCCCCTCTGCGAGGCCGCAGTGGCCTCCTCGCCAGCTCCGAGCGGCCTCGAATCTCAGCTGCGGGGCCCATCTAAACATCCAACGCCATGCCCTTCCAGGAGACCGGCTTCTCATCTCGAGGAGGGGGAGGAGGAGGAGGAGGAGGAGGAGGAGGAGAAGGAGAAGGAGGAGACGAGGAGGACAAGAAGACGAGGAGGAGGAGGAGGAGGAGGAACCGTTTTCTGACGGCCCTGGGGCCCTGCAAAGGCCCCCGGAACCTGGAAACGCCGGAAACCTCCCGTGTCGTGGTATGTTTGGCTCGCCGCGCAAGGACGTCAGGCTCCAGCTGCACCGTGGAGGCACCCCAAAGGGGGCCCCAGACCCCCTCGCGTCGTAGCAAAATCGCGACGGTAGGTCTTTCGCTATTTTCAGCCTCTGGGGGACCCTACCAGGCCTCGGGACTTTCAAAAAAAACGACTCAGGGTGCAAAACCAGTCCCCGGGGGGGTCCGAGCAATTCAGTGGAACGAAGGATCGCCCCGCATCGCCGACGTCGGCGGCATCGGCGACGTCGGCGGTGCATCGGCAACGGCGGAGGTGCATCGGCGACGTCGGCGTGGAGAGATTCGGCATCCACATCGCGCCGCATTGGCGATGCAGCGTGATCCCCCGACCAGGTCTACGCAGACCCTATTTGAGGAGGAGGAGGAGGAGGAGGAGGAGGAGGAGGAGGAGGAGGAGGAGGAGGAGGGAGGAGGAGGAGGAGGAGGAGGAGGAGGAGGAGGAGGAGGAGGAGGAGGAGGAGGAGGAGGAGGAGGAGAGGGAGGGAGGGAGGCGGAGGAGCGGGAGGAGGAGGGGGGGGTCTGGGCTCGATCCTCGGAGTGCGAGCCCCGCGGGGCGATCCTCGGATCCTCGGGCTCCATCCGAGCGACGATCAGGAGGAGGAGGAGGAGGAGGAGGAGGAGGAGGAGGAGGAGGAGGAGGAGGAGGAGGAGGAGGAGGAGGGAGGAGAGGAGGAGGAGGAGGAGGAGGAGAAGGAGGAGGAGGAGGAGGAGGAGGAGGAGAGGAGGAGGAGGAGGGGGAGGGGGGAGGAGGAGGAGAAGGAGCAAGAGGAGGAGGATGAGGAGGAGGAGAAGGAGGAGGAGGAGGAGGAGGACGAGGGACCCCGAATCCCCACCGACTCACCGCACGGTGTGGCCACCACCCCGTGGGGACCCCCGACGGGGGGCGCCTCTGGCAGGAAGCCCCGGCACGCCCCGGAAACGCAGAGAGAGGGGGGGGGCCCGGCGCCCGCCCGAGGGAGCCGCGCGGACCTCCGAGCGCCTCTGCTTCTCAGGTTCTGGTTCCTCGAGGACGTGGCAGGGCGTGTCCCTCTACAGAAGGGCTTTCGACGAAGAAAAAAGAATACCCAAAAAATACCCCAAAAAGATCAAAAAAATATTCCGAAAATAATCCCCAGACAATGTTTGGATTATTTTTGTATTATTGGTGGTGTATTTTTAATCGTCGAAAACCCCCTGTAGAGGGGGACGGGCCCGACTTAACACAAGGTCGGCGGGGCTTCTCGGAAACCAGCGCGCCTTCTGAGAAGCCGCCTGCGTCCTTGGCGAAGGCTGAGAGGACTTCTCGGAATGCGCGACGGTTTCCGAAAAGCCCCGCCGCCTTCCAGGAATGGCCCGCCGCCGATCATGGTGGGCGGACCTTTTGCGCTACCACCACCATGGACAAGGGACGACTGACACCTGCGGTGGTACTCTGTTGTGCGAGGCGCCGAGGCGCCCAGCAAAAGCACTACCGAAGGTCAGCAGTCCGTGCTCAGTGGTGCTGGTGGCAGTAGTAGAGCGTATTATTTTTAATTGGCGGTCATACCGGCCGTCGTGGAAGGTGGAGGGACGGGAGAGGGCATAACGTAGCGCCCCCCCACCCCACCCAAAAAAAACAAAAAATGTGGTGTCGGACGCTAATCCAGAAGTGCCGGGGACGCACTGAGGGGGGGAGCGTTACGTCATGGGGGGAGGGGGGAAGGATAGCGGGCATCACGCGCATTATGGCCCAGAGGGATATAACCAAAATAGAAACAATCACAGAAGACGAGACACCCCTGCGCCCGCCGACGACGCAGCCAAGACGAGGACAACATCAAGTGAAGATAAATCGAGAATCTCTGGGGTCAGGCGGCTCTGGAAGATGCCTCGGGCGCCGCGACCTGCTCAGAGCGTTCCGGAACGCTCTGAGAGCGTCCCGGATAGCGCTAGAACAACTTATCTTCGCCCTGGCCCCGTCAAAAGAAGATCAGCCCAGGACGCCCTGCGCTTGTCGACGCCGCGCGAGCCCCGACAGCACGCTTGCACCGAGAGAGGCAAAAAGCACGGCGGGAGGCTTCCCAGCCGTTTTCGGCCTTCGCGGGGTGCCCTCCCCGGGCCCCAAGAGCGGGGTGGGCCTCCGAGGTGTCGCCGCCGCTGCCCGGCACGCTGTCGGCCGCGACAGCGAAGCTCCGCTGCGCCCCAGTGGGAGACGAAGAGGTGGGGAGGCCAGGGGCGGTGGAGCTCGCACCTCGCGCAGGCCGGTACGCTTCGTAGACGAGGCGCCTGGAAGCGACCAAGCCCTGCTGCTCGCGAGGGGGGGGCGTGGCCGGAGAATGCGGCCCCGCGACTGTCAGGCCCTCCTGCGCCGCCGGGGCGAGTGGAACAGGAGCTCTGGCCTCGGCTCGCCGCCACGCGGGCGACCTCAGCCGCCGCCCAGGGATCTTCTCTAAGAAATTCCGCCCAGGTAGCGTTGAAGACCTCTCGCCTGTGAACCTCCTGCGACGGCGGCAGTCCTTTACTCCCGCGCGCCGGTTCCGTCGGCTCAGGATCGCCGGTCGACGCGGTCTTCGCCTTGGTGGTCGCCGTGACGTCGTCGTGCTTCCTCCTCCTCCTCCTCCCCCCGCCTCCTCCTCTCTCCTCGCCCGCCAAGCTGCTCGCGGGTTCAGGGTTGCCCGTTGCAGCTGCGGTCGAACGGGCCGCCGCGGGAACAGGGCAGCTTGATGTGGAAGGCGTCGCGCCGCTCACCAGCCCGGTGGGCCCGGGGCAGCAAGGCGTTGTAGTCGTGGGCTTTCCAACCCCTCTACCGAGCTCGCCGCGGGGCCCCAGGCCTGCGGCTCTGGCGGGGGCAGGCCGGGGCGCGGAGGGCGCTGCCACCGCGTCAGCAGGAAAAGGAGGCCCGCTCGTCGGAGACGTCGCGTCCCCACCCGCATGGTCCGGGCCGCGCTGCGTGGGCGCGGAGGCGCATTTAGGGATCAGGTCGCCACGAACTCCATGAGGAACCAAGTCCCCGCGGGAATCAGGGCGACTACCCATCGCGACGTCCGTCAGAAAGGGAAGCGACTAACCGTCGCAATCTCCAGGTGGTTAGGAGGAGAGGGAACACGGGAGCAGGAGAGGGAGGGGTCGTCCTCGTCGTCGTCGGCGTCCATGGCGAAGACCTCGCAGCCCAGGGTCGCAAGTATGTTCACGAGGCCGTGCTTCCGGTCTGTCAGGCGCTCCCGGGTGAGGTCTTCCGTGCGCCCGTCCGCTGCGCACCCTGCAGGGTCCCAGCGTTCCTGGACGTGCAGCCCGCTCGCGGACGCCAGCGGAGATTTTGTGTAGAGTTCCTCCTCGTCGTCGCACGCGTCCTCGATCGGAGGATATAGGGAGGGAGGAGGAATCAGGGTCAGGTCCGCCGGCTTCGCCTCGCTGTTCCCCGACGCAGGAGGATCCAGGGAGGGAGGAGGAATCAGGGTAGCCGCCAACGCGGGGAGGCGAAAGGTGGCGATCTCAGCCACCAAATTCGACCGCTTCCCTACGGCGTCGCTGGCCGTCAGCACCTTGAAGTTGGCGCCGAGGCCGTTCAAGATGCGTTCGATGGCGAAGCCCTTGGACGGCGACAGGAACTCCGGCAGCTTGCCAGTGATCTCCGTGGTGATGGGGCCCATAGTCGCCAACATGCTCGCGAGACCGTGCTTCAGTTCTGTCTGGCGTCGGCGGGCGAAGTTGTCCACGTTGCCATGGATCCGTTGTGAACCCAGCGGGATCCCAGAATCCGGTACTTGTAGATGCAATCTGGCTCGCAGCCAGAAGGCAAACTCCTGTGAGCACCCACCAGAGTGACCACCCACAGGGGGATCCTGCACCACGCGATTCCCGGGTGGGCAGTAGGTTGCATAAAGATACATGACAGCGTTCTCCCACAAACCGCAGACCAAAGAAGCCCACGGCAATCCACATAATCCAGCAGCGGCGCCACCAGCAGCTACCACCCATGGTGAACCTCGTGAAAACGTCCTGGAGCCCTGGCGCATGCCCGAAAGCATCGTATGCCCGTCGACGCCGATGAACACGGTAAGGTCGACAATCCGCATCTCGTAAGACTCAACCGAGAGCGGCAAAGGCACCGCACGCTTATCCACAACCGATGAAAACAGCCATAACGCAACGTCTGAATCATACAACGGGACCAAATAGGAGAAGAGGCAATCCTAATTAGAGGGAGCCGGCTTCACAGCAAACGGGAACGCGGAGAACAAGCGCCTGACGACATAGGAGCTGTCCAACCATCCAGCCACAATGTGCCTCAGAATACTGCAGCGACGATATGCAACATGAATAGCATCAGACATGACGGCCACCAATGGCACGAGGGCAAAGTACACAACGAAGCAAGGCAGCTGGTGGGGCTCCAAAGAGGACCTCCAATAAACGGCGGAACAACGCAGAACAAAAATTGCAATGATTAATCCAAGCGAATTCGCATCTATCTGTAGAGACGCCGCATGAGCCATACAGGCGTACTGTAAGATCCGAGCATTATGTCGGGTGTGTGCTGACTCACATAAGGAGATGAGGTCGTCTGCCCCACAGGCGTGCAATCATAGAACACATAGTCGGTAGGTCTTGCGCCCATCAGGGCAACCTGGGCCACCCGACCGGATGGCTCCCGAGGCACCGTCTCGCCTCCCCAGCCGCCATCACCCCCGGCATGCCTCGGGGCGGCTGGATCAACAGCGCCGGGGAACCCAGCGGGATCCCAGAAGCCCTCAGGGTCTTGCGCGCCCAGATCACTCTCGGACGCCTCCTCCACCTCGTCCCTCAAGGCGTCGTCGTCGTCCTCCTCGCCCTTCAAGTCCTCGTCCATCACGTCCTCGTCCTTCACGTCCTCGTCCTCTGCCCCGCCCTCCACGTCCTCGCCCCCGTCCTCCGTCTCGAAATCATCCTCCGCCGCGTACTCATCCTCCGCGTCCTGGAAGAACATCCGGGTGACCGCCGCCATGGCCGGAGGAGGAATCAGGGTCGAGGGAGGGAAGAGGAATCTGGTCCGCCAGCTTCGCCTCCAAGTCCGACGACAAAACGCGGCCTTCGGACACCTGCCGCTTGGTGCCGCCGACGTCCGTGGCCGAGCCGTCGCCCTCGTCGTCGTAGCCGTCCTCGTCCACACCTCCCTGCCGATCTCACGCACACGCCACTCCAGAACTTCGTCGTCGTCGTCCCCGTCGACAGGCTGTCGCCACAGCTGCTTCGCTCCCAGCACGCGGCCGTCACCCGCCATGCGCTCGCCTTCCAACGTGATCGAGCACGTCGGATCCGCCGTACTTCGCGCAGCCGAGGTCGCACGCGCGGCCTCCGCCAGGCGCCCAGCCTCCAGCAGTCGATCAAGCCCCGCCGCGCGCGTGGCCGCCGCCGCGCGCTCGGCGTCCAGCATGGCCAAGCGCTCGGCCTCCGCCGAGCGCACGGCCGCAGAGGCCCGCGCAGCATCCGCCAGACACACAGCCGCACCCAGGCCTGTCGGGGGGGCGGGCCCAGGCCGCCCGGCGGCGCACCCAGCGGCTAGGGCGACGGCCGCGCCGACCACCGCGGCCACAGAGGAGTCGCCGACGGCGGCAGCGGCCGTAGCCGCTGCAGCGAGCGCCGCGGCCACGGCGCCCGGGGCGCCGGCGGCCGTCGCGGAGCGGGCAGAAGCGTCCGCGGCCGCAGCGGCGGCGGCAGCCAGGGCCACCGCTGCGCCGCCGTCCACCGCCGGCGGGGGGCCGGCAGCAGCGGCAGCGGCGGCGGCGGCGCCCGCGGCGCCGGCGAGACCCGCGGCCCAGCGCGGCGAGCAGCGGCAAGGCGCTGGTGCCGACGGAGGGCGGCGCCAGTCCAGCCGCCGCCGCCGCCGTCGCTGCGCGGAGGCACCATGGCAGCGCCAGAGGATGGGGGAGGCAGCCGGCCCCGCGGCGGCGGCCGCTCCGGCCCGCTCGAGCCAGAGAGGCTTGAGCCAGAGGGGGCTTGAGCCACAGGCTACGGAGGTTGTCTTCCAACAGGGCACGTCCATCTGTGAAAATAAAGCCGTGTAGGGGCCGAATGAAGAGGGAACTTGGAGGGAGGATATATTGCAACATCGTCGATGAGTCTCGTGTTTACACTGGTCCTCGTCCTTCTCCTCCTCCTCCTCCTGGTCCTCCTCCTCCTCCTCCTCCTCCTCCTCCTCCTCCTCCTCCTCCTCCTCCTCCTCACACACAGACAACACACACGCACAACGCGCACACACACACACAAACACACACACACACACACACACACACACATACACATACATACACACACACACGCTTAAAACACACACACACACACACACACATACACACACACACACACACACACACGAAGACACGCACACAAAATGATGACCAACGAGAAAAGCCGGCACGCTAGCCCTTCCTCCTTCCTGCGCGCAAGGACGCGAAGCTACTGCTGGGACGGTCCCCGACGCTGTCAGTCCCCCCCCCCGCGCAGCGGACGGGCGACGCGAGATGCAGAGGCGATGAGGGCGGCATGTCAGCTCCTGCTGGTCCTTCTCCTCCTCCTCCTCCTCCTCCTCCTCCTCCTCCTCCTGCCTCTACCCTCCATCGAGCGTCAGTATAAACAACTCCTCTCTGCCGCACCCCCAGACGTGTCGGTCCAGTGTCGGTAGGGCGGGCCGGGCGGTTCGCCTGAGACTTCTCACCACTGACTATGCTGAAGCTTGAAGTTTGCCACAGCTTCAAGGATGGAGGGTGGCTGGTTTTTAAAGTGTGGCTCTCGCCTCAGCGCCGCGCACACTCGTCTTAAGTTTGTAAGTGTTTGACGCATGGAGGGCGGCTGGTTGTTTTAATGTGGCTCTCGCCTTAGCGCCGCGCACATTCGTCGTCATAGTTGCAACAGCTTCATGGAGGCCGCCTCCGTTTGAAAATGTGGCTCTCGCCTTAGCGCCGCGCACACTCGTCCTAAACATCTGCAACAGCTTCGAGAAATCGTTTAGTTGGAATCTCGAGAATGAGTTTCTAGCTCGTTAAGACGCAACAGTAACGCTGAATAGCGGCGGTGAACTCCCAGCAACGGTGTGGTGGTACGACTGGAGATTCTCGAACGACTGTCTTACAATGGGGCATGTCCCCCGATGACAGAAATTCTTGGAGGGACGGTTGATTGCAACATCGTTGATGCGTCTTGGGTGTACACTGGTCCTCCTCCCCCTCCTCCTCCTCCTCCTCCTCCTCGTCCTCCTCCTCATCATCATCAGCATCATCATCATCATCATCATCATCCTCATCCTCATCCTCATCCTCATCCTCATCCTCCTCATCATCATCATCATCATCATCATCATCATCATCATCATCATCATCATCATCATCATCATCACCAGTATCATCAGTATCATCATCATCATCATCATCATCATCATCATCATCATCATCATCATCATCATCATCATCAGCATCATCATCATCAGCATCAGCATCATCATCATCATCATCATCATCAGCATCAGCAGCAGCAGCAACAGCAA